GACCGGGGGGCCCTGTCGCAGCTCCCATGGTAATGGCGCGCGAGGGTCTTTGTTCAAGCTCCCGCCATCTCTCTGCCACGCCCCTCCACCCTTCCTTGCTTGCTGATACTCGAACACCTTGCATGCTGTAGTCGCCGTCGCCCGCAACCTCCAGTCCAACTTTATCACATTTATTACGATAATATCATCACACATCCTCCCAGTCGCATAGCTGTGCGCAGCCGCCAAAGATATGACCACCGCTATGGAACCCACGACGGGCTCCTCGTCTTTGAGCAATGGCGTCGCCTCGCAGCCAAAGAAGGTCGCATACTTCTACGACTCCGACGTCGGCAACTACGCCTATGTAGCCGGACATCCCATGAAGCCCCACCGCATACGCATGGCGCACAGCTTGATCATGAACTACGGACTGTACACCAAAATGGAGATTTATGTAGGTGGATTCGACGTCAATTCTCATGGATCTGTGCTAACTCACCGGCAGCGCGCTAAGCCCGCGTCCAAATACGAGATGACGCAGTTCCACACCGACGAATACATCGAGTTTCTCCACAAGGTCACTCCCGATAACATGGAGAGCTTCACACGTGAGCAGAGCAAATACAACGTCGGAGACGATTGTCCAGTCTTCGACGGTCTATTTGAGTTCTGCGGTATCAGCGCTGGCGGCACCATGGAGGGCGCTGCGCGCTTGAACCGAGGAAAATGCGATGTCGCAGTAAACTGGGCGGGAGGACTGCATCACGCGAAGAAGAGCGAAGCCAGTGGTTTCTGTTATGTCAACGACATTGTCTTGGGAATCATCGAGCTACTCCGATACAAGCAGCGCGTGCTGTACATCGACATCGACGTCCACCACGGAGATGGTGTCGAGGAAGCCTTCTACACGACCGATCGCGTCATGACCGTCTCTTTCCACAAGTACGGCGAGTACTTCCCCGGTACCGGTGAATTGCGCGACATCGGTGTCGGCAGCGGCAAGAACTACTCGGTCAACTTTCCTCTTCGCGACGGCATCACCGACGAGACCTATCGCAACATCTTCGAGCCCGTCATCCAGGCGGTTATGACATACTACGGCCCAGAGGCTATTGTTCTACAATGCGGTGGCGACAGTCTTTCCGGAGACAGGCTTGGTTGCTTCAACCTGAGCATGGACGGCCACGCCAATTGCGTCAAGTACGTCAAGAGCTTCGGCGTACCAGTCATCGTGCTGGGAGGAGGTGGTTACACTATGAGGAACGTGGCGCGAACTTGGGCCTACGAGACGGGAGAGCTCGTCTCGACCAAGATGTCCAAACAGCTGCCTTTTAACGACTACTACGAATACTTTGCTCCCGACTACGAACTGGACGTCCGTCCTTCTAACATGGAGAACGCGAACTCTCACGACTACCTGCACAAGATCAAATCAGCCGTCATCGACAATATTCGGAGAACCGGAAAGCCATCAGTTGAAGCCTTCACCAATATTCCGGATGTGCCTGCGGGTCTAACTCGCGCTACGGACTCAGACGCTGAAGATGAAGACGATGATCTCGATGCCGACGAGAACAAGGATGTGCGCATGACACAGCGTCAACGCGACCAGCAAATAGAGCACGACGGCGAACTCTACGATGCGAGCGATGACGAGGATTATAAAAACAGCCTCGGAGTGCGCGAGCAGCCCGGCACCAAGAAGAGGCGACACATCACCGACTTCCCGAACCCCAATGCTGCTCCAGAGGATGACTTGGACCGCATGGAGACGAATGGTGAAAGCGCCGTATCCACACGGCAAGCATCTGCAGTCGCCAATTCGCGCACAACAACCCCCGCCGCTGGCGAGCAAGAAGCCGACGAAGATGGCGACATCGACATGGACGCAGCGCCTGCTGCGACTGCACCTGCCGCTGGCTCCACGCGATCACAATCGCCCGCTGGTGTCGTAACCCCACCCGAATCCCCACCAGCCGCGGCAGCAACAACAACCATGGCACCTACTTCAGCCCCCACGGCAGACGTCGAAATGGAAGAGAACGACAACAAAGAAGAGATCGCCGCAGCCAAAGAAGAGGGCGACGCAGAACGCGACTCCGAAAACGTCAAGGGCGAGGTCCGCACGGAGGTCGCTAAGGACTAAGCACCCAAACGGCGGTTCTTTGCTGCATTTGCGAGGCGTTTGTACTTTCATCGCACTATTTTCTGGGTCACTTCTTGACGACAGGTAGCGGGGTCGGTGTTTTGGTGTGATGGGAAATAGCTTGCGTGAGTGAGCTCAAGCTAGGGATACCTTTTTGGATTTTACTGAAGTATGTTATTCTGATGCAATGGGTCTGTTGTCTCTCTTTCTATCATTGTATGTCTTACGTGCTAGAATGAAATATGAATACCAAAGCAACGATCGATTTCACGTCCTGGGCCTCTTGTCGACATATCTTGGACAACTTAACACCACTCCCCGCAAGCCTCAACATCCCACACCGGTCTCTTTCCCACATCCGCACTCGTCTTCTTGGCTTTGGGCTTCTTGACCTCGTCGCACGCACCCACCATGTCTTCATCACCGTCCAACAGTCCGGCTACGACACGCTCGGCCATGCCACAGAGCTTAGCAACCAAGCACTTGTAATGTCCCAGCGTACCAGTCGTCTCAATCAGTACACGCATCCTTGGCTTCGCAGCCGTAGACGGAACAGAAGTACCTGTACCAGACGCCGACGCAGGAGGACAACGTCCAGATCCGGCGATTTTACTAACGGGACTGCCAGTCTCGATACTGTTCTTCGTCTTCACCGTTGGTGTCGAGTCGTCTTCGGTGTCCTCCTCTCCCAATACCTTACCCACACCATACAACCTCTCCATCTTCATCTTTCGCAATCCCTCCATCCTTGTCTGTACAGAACTTTTTCTCCTCTTCTCCTCGAAAACTACTAACGCGATCTTTATCCCCATTTCTATCTCTACATCCTCGTCCTCCTCCCCCTCCCCTACATCCTCTTCATCCCCCTCCTCCTCTCCCATACCCATATTTCCAACGGGTACGCATACAGGCGCCTCAACAATCGGCACACTGATCCTCAGCGGATTACAATCAGGATCGTTCGTGTAGTACCGTACGAGGAAAGCGAGGTGTTTTGAGCATTCGTTGAGGAGGGGTTTGGGGATTGAGGGGTGCGTTAGTTGGAGGTTTAGTTCGGAGAAGATGCGTGCGCGGAGGGGGTCGATTGGTGGTGTCATTCCGGGGTTATAGTAAGTGTGATGGTGGAGGGGTGGAGGTGGGTAGGAAGGGCGGTAGGGGAAGGAGGTGGCGGGTTGATAGGGCGTTTATATGGATGATGGGTATCGAAAGCGAAGACGGTTTGCTACCTCGAGACATTCGTTAACAGTGTGGTCTTAGAGGTGGACAAATTGCTTCTTCGTTGTTTAAGACGGGTTGGTACATCCGTGTTTCAAGCTGCGTCGATTGCTAGGTTTGCCACAAAGGTCAGACAAATTCACAAGCCCCGTCCAGGGCAAATGAGTAGAATGCTGTATGTCTTATTGCTAGGAATGGCCTTTATCCATAATCATCAGGGTACGCGGAAACTTTGATGACGACTTCCTGTGATCAGAGTACCAGATGCATGTCATCCAAATCAATATCCAACCCTGAACTCAGCTGTGGGATCTGCTTGTAGTTGCTCTCATCCAGGGTCTTCCTGATGAACTTAAGTGTCTGTCTTCCGGTCAGTACAACAACGCTCAGATCCGTCAAACACATGTCAAGCACTCACCTCAGCATAAGTCGGAGTCTGATCCTGCTTCATCATCTCCAAGAACGCCCACGTCATCGCACCCGTCGCCTCCCCTTCAATCCGCGCATCAGCACTCGTCTGGTCATCCCTACACCCACTAAACATCGTCACCATCTTCTGCTCACTCCCATACTGCCCCGCAAACTCTCCACTCTCTAGTCCTTCCTCCTCCTGCTCCTCTCCAAAATGCTTCAGTCCCTTGAAGAACGTACTCGCGCCCGCAAGCAACTCCCTCGCCTCCCCAACTTTGCTATACGAGAAACCACCAGAGATGATATCGCGCGCCTCATTAGCAAGCGTAAGCCCGGCTTTCAAGTTATCCATCAAACTGATCTGGCCATCGCTATCAGAGCGGTAAACGAACGGTAGCTCGAGCGCACTCCCAGAATGACAACAGTCCATTATGACAAACAGCGTGCAATCCCGCGCCATATACGTAACGAGATGTTCATGTAAAATGGTACTGGAAATCTGGCCGCGCTGTTCGAAATCCACAGGAACGATCGAGGCGTCCATTCCCGTCGTCCTGTTCCCGTCTACATCTGCAATTTGCCCGCCATGTCCGGAGTAGTGCAAGAACAAGGTGCATCCGGGTTCCGAGACGAGCCAGTCCATGGCCGCGAGTAGGTTGTGGCCGGTGGGGTAGTAGGGGGAGTCGTAGGGTACTTCTGGACGGTCGGTGAGGATGACTCGGTCTTTGTGTGAGTTGGTGTAGCCGCGGTAGGAGAGGAATTCGGCCATGTTGTCTACGTCTGAGTGGCAGCCGCGTAGTTCGTGGCTGCTGCCGACATAGTTGATGCCGATGAGGAGGGACTTCTTGCGGCGGTAGGACATGTTGAAGTTAGATAGAAGAATGGAGTAGGTATGCGATTGTGGTGTTGGAAAAAGGATTCTAGGTGGCTGTGGCTGAGGTTTGTAGCGTGGTTGTCAAGTGTTGGTAGTGGTGGGGTAGTGAATGATGTGGCTGATCACTGCCCAATCAATTCTAGTGGGAAGACGCGTCGCGCCCCGCCCGCGTGCATGCGCGATTGTATACTGCAAACAGCAATGCGACATATACCAAAGTTACGAGGATCTTGGTGGCTGGGTTTGTGACGGGTCTAGGGCATTGCTTCGGTGCAGAAAGTGATGATGACGTCACTTGGTCGTGCGCGCACCTTACAACTGCACGTGTCACATATACCACAAAGAGTAACGGCATGCCGCCACTACAGCACCATGAATCGAGATATCAGTCCACCTCCCTCGAAACGACGCAAGGTCGCGACAAACACAGCGGCGTCTCCCGGGCAAACGGCGCCTGCAAGCACGCCCGCATCTCCAACGCCCCTCCCACCTCTCGACTCAAACACATTACGCATCTTCTCCTGGAATATCGATGGTATTTCTCCGTTCCTACAAAAGCCAATCACGGAATTCTTCATTCCCAAATCGAAAACGGCACTCAGGGACGACGCAAAGAACGCCCGACCAGCAGCCTCCCTAAGAGGTTTCCTCCACAGACACCAATGGCCGTCCATCCTCTTCCTCCAAGAAGTGAAGATCGCGCACACAGATGAAAAAACGCAAGACGCAGTCAAGAAAGCAGTAAAATCACCCCTACCAGAAGAAGAAGGAACTCCCCATAATAAGCGCCCACTATACCACGTCCACTTCACCCTCCCCACCGACCTCCACAACGCCCGCGGCCCCAAACGCAGCGGCAAAATCTACGGCGTATGCAGCCTCATCCGACGCGACCTCTACATCCCCTACAAAATCGCCCTCCGCACCGTAGACTGGGACGCCGAAGGCCGCATCTCCGTCGTAGAACTCCGCTCGAAAAGCAGCACAGCCAAACTCGCCATCTTCAACATCTACGCCGTCAACGGAACGGAAAACGCGTATCGAGACCCGCAGACAGGTGCGTTCAAAGGTACGAGACATGATCGGAAACGCGCGTTTCATAAGCTATTAGCGAGGGAGTGTAGGGAGTTGGAGGAGCAAGGCTGGGATGTGCTACTTGCGGGCGACATGAACGTCGCGCCTGACGAGCGAGACGGGTGTCCCAAACTACGCATCTTCCCACAGGCACATGTAGTTAACCGCGCGGATTTCCACGATAAGCTGCTGGGAGGGGGTGGGAAGGCGAAGGAGCCGTTTGATGGTGTTGATGTGTGGAGGGAGATGTATCCGCATGAGAGGCGATATACGTATCATTCTAGAGGAAGGAAATGGGGGAGTAGCTGTGATAGGGTGGATTATCTTATTGCGGGGAGGAGGATGTGGGAGAAGGGGTGGGTTAGGGCGGCTGGGATTATGGATAGTGAGGAGGGGATGGGGGCGAGTGATCATGTGCCTGTTTGGGTGGATGTTGAGATGAAGGAGGGGAATGGAGACCGAATGGCATCAAAAGAGAAAGAGAAGGATGCCGTAAAAACATCTTCTTCCTGAGTTACAAGCTTTCTCCAATCTCCACACCGACATCCAGACATACCCATAACCCACATCCTCCTACTCCGCCTCCCCAGTATCCGCCACAAAAAACGGACTCGTCCCCATCCCATTAAACGCATTAACCTCCCACAACTCAGTCGTCCCACGCAGCACCTCATACCGATTATAATCCCCACACCCACTCCCCGTATTAACACACTCCGTCGTAATCCGACCCGCAATGCGCTCACCCACCTCCTGCCCCTCAAACCACGCACCATGCAAGAAACCAAAGTACTCCGCACTCATCGCCTCGCCCGCAAAATACAGCCTACCTACATTCGCGCGAAGGTTTTGGTGCATTTCGAGTGTCGTTCCAGCAGGCCAGTTGGAGTAGGAACCGTAGGACCAGGGTGTTTGGGTCCAGCGCGGGTAGGTAAACGCAATAGGTTCCGGAACCGTGATGTTAGGAAACATTTTGCGGAGAACAGCCATACCCTCCGCTTTCGTCGTCTCATCGTCCTGCGCTTCCACACGGTATGACTGTTCGTCTACAAGCGTGGCGAAGAGGATGTTGGAACCGGGCAGGAACCCTTCTGTCGATAGACTCTGCCAGACGGTGTAGTATCCGCGCGTTGTGGGATCGGCGTAGAGGAAGAATTGCTTGTCGGTTGGCCAAAAGGTTTCGTTGAATTGGAAGAAGAGTTTTGTGTAGGTTCCGAAGGAGAAGGTGGCGATGGCGGATTGCTTCCAGTCAGGGAGGGTGGGCGAGAAGGTTATGGCGTCGTTTTGGAGGACGCCGAGGGAGACGGTGGAGATGGCGTAGTCGGCTTCGATGCAGGTGTTGTCTGAATTGAGGATGTGGACGCCAGTGTCGGAGTAGGTTATGTTTGTTACGATGGTGTTGATGAGGAGGCGGGGATCGGCGGGTTTGAGGAATTTGGAGGCTTGGTGCTTGAGCCAGGTGTTGAAGCCGCGTTGGTCGGTGCAGACTGTAAGAATATGTATTAGTACTTTGCTTATACTCTTATAAGAAGGCACGTACAGTTGCTGACCTCGGAGAAGCCATAGTAGGTCAGATTGTATCCCGTAATGCCATAGACGAAGCTTGATTCCTCAGGTGTCTGAAAAGCTTGCGTATTAGCATGTCTCACAAATGATTGTTTCAGCTAGCTTACCTGAGCCGTTTCCCAATCCCAAAGATAGTACTCCACAGCCTTGCGCGCCGGGTCGCCCTTTGGTCTCCACCCGCTTTGCCAAAGACCTGCACGGAAGCTCCTGTCTTGCAAGTTCTCAGAGAGTAGCGTTCCAGCACTTTGCTCGAAAACACTCCAGTACTCTTCAAACTCATCCAGTAAATTCGTGAAGTCAACAGCGCCCGTCTCATTGTAGGTGGCGACGGAGAAGGAGTCGGAATTTGGGCTGGAAAGGTTGACTTGTTTTGAGAAAGTCCAGACAGGGTTTTCTGGACCGTCTACTGTATTTTCACCCAGACCAGAGATCCAGTTTGCGCCGAGCTCGACGGTATAAGGGTCGCCGTTGGAGTCGGAACCGAACTTTGTGTTTCGCATGCGGCCGCCGATGTGGTCTTGGTACTCGAGAATCAGGAAGTCGGTAACTGATTGATTGGCAAGCGCTTGCTACAATCCATTAGTAGCTGGACTAGACATAATCGTTGAGCGTCCGAAGTGTATTGAATTAGATGAATTTGCCTTGCATTCATCTTGGAGAGACTCTCAATGTGGACTCACAGCTGCTGTGATACCGGCAACTCCGCCACCGCTACAAAATTTTAGCCAACTCTGATCTGTGTTCTTGAAGACGAAACTTACATGATGGCGACAGTGGTCTTCCTACATGTGCTGTTGTTGGCCCGTCCATGGATTGCCGGCGCAGCGAATGTCAGTGGTACAAGACCAGTGGTCAACAACAACGTATCCGCCAACCTCATGATGAATCTACTTCGAGAGATAGTTGTGAAGAATGTAAGCCTTGCTGGAATCTGATGCTCATCGGCAGATACTTAAAGCTTGACCTAGGAATGCATGCTTGAATGCATATCTAAAGTATCATCCACTTTAGTTCCGCCTACGTTCCTTCCCCCGCATTAGTCCCACGGCAATGGCCGGGGATGGCGGTAGCAATCGAGGTACAGTAATAGCGGTTAGTCGCATCTTACCTATCACAGATAAGCATGGGTTCATGGTTTCGTGACATGGGTTCGTGATCCGGTGTTCATGTGTCGCAACGCAGATCTTAGACCTGCCTAATATGGATCAAAACTCATGGAAACCTGGAAGTAGAGTAGCAGTAGAATGACGGCTAAGTGAAAACACAGTCAGGATGAGTATGCAGCTTGATTGAAAGAGCATGGTGTGGAAGGTAGTAGGAAGGCCGATGTAGACCGGGGGTTACTGGCGGGAGCCGAAGATGATAAGAGCGCCGCGTGTACCTGCTGCATGCGCGAGGTGACGTCGCCATAGATGGCATGTGCTCATCGGCGTGACCGTAGTGCTCTTGCTGTCATTTTCGTTCGAGGTTGTTGTTGAATGCGAGATGATGCTGTCATGGAACTGCGGTGTCGCGTCCATGTTAGCTGGGCGAGGCTGACCCGCAGGAACACCGCGTGAACCCAAGGAAGCTATGACCACAGAGGTCTGCTCCCACACCTCCACGACCATCGCGCGATTTCGACGCGCCCACGGGTATGCGCGCGACAAGTTGAGTCTAACCGAGAAATACTGAAGAGTTTGAATGCATCCCATTACGCGAGCTGTCCAAGACACGGGAAAGGCGCAAGGTTTTCGGGACGGCACGATAGCGGGGTTTTTGGTCATGTCATCTTTCGCTCGTCGCCTTTCGCTTCCAAGATCACTACCGTTTCTCGCAGCTTCCATTGACACTCAATTCCTCTCCTGATCTTTGCTTCGCATCCCTACTATCGCGTCATGGTCTCTTCAAACGTACGGCAACACAGCCAGGATGCAGCCGAGTAGCAGAATGCCCGATCAAGGTAACGTCATATAGCTGAACGCATGAGACCGGTGTTCGCTCGCCAGCATCTTTGCTAGCAGCGATCTGAGATATACGGTCTGAACTTGATCAGGTTAAAGCCTGCGAAAGGACTCATGCTTTGCTCCCGCGCCGCGAGGCTGCTACTAATGGCTTTAGGTCGCCGTCATGCACCCGATCACGAACCCGCCCAATGAAAAGAAGTCGATATTTGCCCCGAACGCGAGAAACGAACCCGAACTACCTGTTAGCGCACACGATACCGAGAATGGAGGAGTGGGACACCAGAGCAGATGGCAGGACATGTGGAAGGCGTTTGAGAGGCAGCTCGTCGCATACAACCTCGAGGCCCGCGGCATTGAGCGTGTCGAGCCGGAGGAGCGTCAGGACTTGCGCCTGCTTGGATACTCTCAGGTAGCCATCATGTGGTTCAGCGTCAACCTCGCAGCGAACAACATTACCCTGGGCATGCTCGGTCCCGCCGTCTTCGCCCTGGGTTTCCTCGACTCCTGCATGCTGGCCGTCTTCGGCGCATTCGTTGGCTGCCTTGTCGTCGCATACATTGCAACCTTTGGCCCGAAGAGCGGCAATCGGACTATGATCTTCTCGCGATACATCACGGGCTGGTGGCCGTCCAAAGTCGTCGTCCTGCTCAACATCATCGTTCTGCTTGGGTACGGAATGATCGACTGCGTAGTCGCTGGACAGATTCTGTCAGCTGTTTCGGGCAACTCCATGTCCGTGGTAGTCGGCATCATCGTTGTAGCCATCATTGCGTGGGCCATCACCACCTTTGGCTACCAGATCTTCCACTACTACGAGCGATGGGCCTGGCTACCGCAGCTTATCGTTCTCTGCATACTAGCTGGAGTCGCCGGTCCGCAATTCAATATTTCCTCCGAGTCCCACGGCGACGAAGACCCAGATACCATAGTCGGGAATCGCATCAGCTTCTTCGGTTTGACACTCGCTGCGGCTATCACCTATGGCGGCGGAGCAGCAGACTATTTCGTCTACTATCCAGAACACGCATCTTCGTTCAAGATCTTCGGCATGACCATGCTCGGTCTGATGTGTAGCTTCACGTTCGCCTTCGTCTTGGGCATCGGTCTGGCATGCGGCATGCTTACCAACACGGACTGGGAAGCGGCATATGGCGTTTCCCAAGGCGCTCTGATAGTCGAAGCATACAAACCGCTAGGCGCTTTCGGCTCGTTCTGCGGCGTGGTAGTAGCTTTGGGTCTTGTCGCTAATCTCATCGTCCCTACATACTCTTCCGGAATCGATGCCCAGATCCTAGGCCGCTATGCAAGTGTTGTACCGAGAGTCATCTGGAATACTGTTGGCGTAGTCATCTACACAGTCTGCGCACTAGCAGGGCGTGCCCATCTCGCCGAGATCTTCACCAACTTCCTTGCTCTCATGGGCTACTGGGTCTCTGTCTGGATCGCCATTACGCTTGAAGAGCATTTGATCTTCCGACGCAAGACTGGCTTCAACTGGCAAGTCTGGAACCAGAAGAAGAAGCTTCCGCTGGGCATAGCCGCCTTCACGTCGTTTGTGATCGGCTGGATTGGTGCCATCATGTGCATGGCCCAGGTTTGGTATATTGGACCAATCGCTAAGCGGGTTGGGACTTATGGAGCTGATGTATGTGCATGTGAGAGTCAGAGCTACACAAAGCTAACTTATCCAGATGGGCAACTACGTCGGTTTCGCATGGGCTGCAGTTGTCTATCCGCCTCTGCGAGCCTGGGAGCTCAAGCGTTACGGCCGATGATCAAGACCTTTCACCGCTCAGAGCGAAATCTGCTTGGAGACATCGGTGTAGCGACTGAATCATGCAGCAAGAAGTCGATGGCGCTCTGAGTCTTCCTATCGCACATGTCAAGTACAGCATGTCTTTTTCACCCGTTTCTCCTCTTTGTTTCATCATTGAACGTGCGTTGAGATAAGGTCAAGAATAATACAGGAGCTTGTTTGAAAAGAGATGGCCTGAGAGTATTGTAGGTGTGCGCATTGGCGAGGTGATGTTTTTATTGCGTGCGGTGTGCGCCTCGAGACTACTTGTATGTGAGACATCTTCACCCACTGTCACTTGTCGTTGTCTGGTGGGCATTTACCGACCATGTCAATGCATAATTAGGATGATGTCATCGCCTCTTGCGCGCTTTCAGACCAGAAAGAGCACACCAGACACGCATATTTTCTTCTTGGTTCCATACACGGAGCCCTGGCACAAATGTATCGGCTTCCCTATCCGCCAGTGACATTTGTAGCATGACAACAGCGTCTGACTTGGTGGTAATTCTGCCCGCGGGCATACATTCACGTGGGTATCAAAGGTTATCCATCTCATATTGTCGTCGTAGGAATCCTTAGTCACTTCATGTAGGGATCTTCAGTCACCTCGCATGTTCTTCTGTTCTTCCCGTTTTTCGAGCCCAGTTTGCTATCTTGCGCACGGGCCTGGCAACGTGTTGTTGTTGTGGAAGTCACGGTGACTGCCTGTTGCGCTCGTCTCTGGCTTGGCGTTGTTGTGACTGCTGTCTCTCACCTCACCTCCCCACAATCAAAACAAAATCCTCCACAACGACGGACAGCTCTTCTGTCTTTCCCCATCCTTTCCCATTCCCAACCACCACCACCGACCACTGGCAACATGTCGCGCAACCTCATCGACCTCAGTGACGAGGACACCTCCTCTCAGAACACCACTGGCATCAACGGCATTCGCCGTACCAACGGTCTCGTCGGCCGCATGTCTCTCTCGGAGAACCGCGCAAGGTCGCCTCCACGCAACCACTTCGCAGGTCTCGATGTCCTCATGAGACAGAGGCAGTCTTCTACACCAGTCCCTTCACCAGCTCCGCGCCCGGTGTCGCTGCCAACCGTGTCCAACGGTGAGTGACCAAATCCATCTTTACATCACTAAGTGACTGACTGACCACATCTAGTCCCTCGCTTTGCTACACGTCTCTCTTCAAGTTCGGAGATGTTCTCCCCACTGGCGCAGCCGTACAGGGCCCCAGAGTCTGTGGCGTCTTTCCTGCAAGAGCAGCAAGAGCCCTTGACCTCCGCTCTTAGGTCTGATCAGCCGATCCCCGAGTACATCCCTGAGAACAGGATGGAGTTCAGGAGCATGATTGATACTATCAATGACTACAACAAGGCCACTGACAGCGAGTCCGATCATCGTTCTGGTCGCAGCTCCTGGTCGCCGCCCGTCCCCGTCCCTCAAATCGAGTTATCCGTGCCTGCTGCATCTGATACACCCCCGACCCCAGCAGACTCCGTTGTGGATGCCATTCCTGATTTCGGATCCGACCAACCAACGATGGTGTGGATGACTGAGCAGGAGGAGCTGACCGTGCTAGAGGACCGGTTGGCAGCCGTCCAGGAAGCCGTCGCCAGGCTGGAGCGCGAGAACACTGAGGCCAATAGGAAGCTAGGACTTCTCGGATACCAGCTCGAGTCCACCGAGAACCAGAATGCCGCAATGTCTCGCGCTATGTCTGAGAAGGACGCCATGATCAAGAAGCAGGATCTCGGAATGAAGAAGCAGGGCGCTGATATCAAGGCCAAGGACGCTCAGCTGGTAAGGAAAGAAGTTGTGATCGCGAAACATGTTGCTGAGATCAAGAAGAATGTTCGACAGTTAGGTGCTCGCAATGCGTTGATCAACAAGGCAAACCCCGGAAGTAAGTTCGAACACCATACTGTATTAAGAGGGCCTAAGCTAACTCACCCTAGATGACAGGGTCGGTGTACATGGCGTCAGGATGGCTGCTAAGGATGCTGAGTTGGCCGCGAAGGACGCCGAGTTGGCCGCCAAAGATGCCGAGTTGGCAGCGCTCAAGCAGACCTTCGAGGCTCAAGGCCGTAAGATGGAGACTACCCGCTCAACCGTCAAGGAGCAAAAGGCCCTCCTCATCAAGGAGCAGCAGGAGGCAGTCGACCGTCAGCGGATCATCGACTATCACCGCACACAAAATCAGGCCTTGGCTGACGCTGCGACTGCACGCGAGAAGACCATAGCTGATCTGCGACAAGAGCTTGTCGTCCGAAAGTTTGAGCTGACCGACGCCCAAGAGCAACGTGGAAACCGCGGCGCCATCGAGGACATCAAGGGCAAGCTTCGTGAGATGACCACTCTTTCCGATCGCCAGCGAGCCCAGCTCAAGGACGCCAAGGACGAACTCAAGTTCAAGGACGCCCGCATCATGGACCTCAGCAACAACGGCGAGCGTCTCCGTGGTGCCATCCATGTCGTCCCGCCGCGCAATGTCAAGCTTCCTGAGACCGTCGTATCATGCACGGAGTGTTACGCCATGGACCGGCGATGCGACAGCGGTACCAAGTGTCGCCCCTGTATGGAGAACAACACTGAGTGCCTGCGCTTCATGTGCTCATTGAAGTACAAGAACGGCAACTGCCCTCTGGTCCCCTGCCCCCTCACCCACGACGGTCAGGGTTACCTCATGTTGCCGCGACCTCGTCCTGAATGGTGAAAAGCTCAACACGGTGAGCGAGGAAACGATTGACGGACTCTCATGAGATTTGGTGCGTATTTCTCTGGCGTCGGCGTCGGAGTTGGCATCTGTGTGTTTGAGCAATCCTGTGAGCAGCCGAGTGCTGTCAGTTTTCTGACCGAATAGCACGATTAGGTAGAGCCTCAATAAGGAAAAAGTCTTCAAGATGAAGCATTCATGAACCTCTATTCGAATTTGACCGTGATGACCAGGTTGTACATCGCGTTGTTGTGACGTCATTTGTTCGCCTTGCTAATACTAGCACGTCGGGGCGGAAGGCAAGCGCGAAGGATGCCGCTCGTACATGATCACCATGCGCATCTCGGGCTCAGAATTCTCCTTCAATTATAACGACGAGCTATTCAGAGTGCTGATCAGAGGCGTGCAGTACAGTCCGCCTCGTGCCGGGGTCTGCGTTGTGGCGTGTCGCAGACATCTGAAACCGCGTGCGGCGCTGCACCGGGCGTCTTCACAGTCAGCATGGCATCGCGGCTGCTGCCTTCCTGGTTGTGCCTGCCGTCTGCGGATCTTTTAGTTTGATCCTATTTCTTCCTTTACTGCCTCTCTCTAAACAATTCACAACAGCACGCAATCATGGAAGAGATGGCAATGAAGGCGGATTCGAGCGGGCGTGAAGTATGGGTGGTTAGTATTGTTGCCGTAGATGTTCGCTTTATCAATTCTAATAAGCACATAGGCTCCCGAAGAGGACTCAGGTCCCTTAACTCGACAGCGTTCACTCTGGAGAGTACCGCAACTAGGGCTGCTCGTATTCGCGATAGTATTGCTGTATTGGAATGCGTGCCCTCCCAGCCACACGACGACTTCTGGCCGATCTTTATACGACACCACACCGGCCACCATCGACTACGCCAGATGTGAATCGATAGTCTCTTCTGAAGCGCGCACGTTCGGCTTCAACATCTCAGACAGCGACGGAGCGGAAACCCATTGGCGTCTATCCGACTCATCCAATTCCACCGGTCGTCTCTCTGGTATAATTCACGTCCAGAGAGGCGACGTCGGCCAGACCTCAGATATCGAAGTTCGGCTCGAAATCAATTCCAGCTCTACTGCAGACTACAAGAATGTTGTTTACAACCGAACTGCAACGGGCCTCAGCCTGGACTACCTTCCATCCGACAACGACGAAGACATTTGTACAGAGATCAAAGTTATGATATACTTCCGTCCAGAATCACCCGTTCGTCTATTGGATGTGCTCGAGATCAGGTCCGAGACATTCGATCTATGGGTCCACGACTGGGCCTGGCAGATCAACAACCTCATCACACATACTTCGCACGGCGAGTACACATACGAAGGCGGCAAAGGCCCGGACCCGTTGCATCCAGACAACATCGATTCCAGCTCAACAACAGGAGTCATATGGGGATGGTACGGCTGCGAAGGTAGATTCAAGATACACAGCAAAAGCGGGCAGATCGATCTAATGCTGGTACCGCGGTATACATTCATTGGAAAACCCATGCGACCTGAAGAAATCGTGGTGTATACAATCAGCGGAGACATCAACGTCGCTGCGCTCTGGGAATATTGGCCACAACAGCCTTTTACACATTACACGGAAATTCACTCGGCTTACGGCAATGTAGTCGCGGAGATACCACATGGCTCGTACACTACTCTCGCGAGTATCAGCGGCAACGTAAAAGCGTATCTACGACCCTTTGCTGCCGTAAGCCCGGATGATGAAAGCACGATTAAGACGACTACATTGTATGGCAATACGGTTTTACATCTGGATAATGCGGACCGAGAGCTCTTGGATGAGTTGTACGATCCCCTTCTCAGTACGAAGAGTGACCACTACGTCGGCACTGGTGATTTGTACCTGCGGTACCCGTTTAGTTGGTTCGGGAAAATGAAAGCGTATGGGAAAAAGGGCTCGATCAAGCTTGGGGGAAGTGCCCTAGATGAGGTGGAGGAAGGTGATAGGTTCGTTAAGGCTGTCAGAGGGAGAGGCGCAGGTAGTCGCATGGAAGCGGTTGTTCATATGAGGGGGATGATGGATGTCACACTGGGTATTTGGGACACAGATGAGTGAGTAGTATATTTGGTCGTTACACTGTTATCATTGCGAGTGCGTACGACCTTCTATGGATACATCAATCATGTGTTATTGCTGTCGATCAACAGTCATGGGTGATCCCAACAGACTGCTATACATATTTTGCAAGGCCAAACAACAACGCGCCAAAACCTCGCTGAGCTCTGGGCATCCATCCCGATCAGCAGAACTGACATGAAGGTTTCGCATTGGGGTCAGGCCTACTAAGTAGATATTTTGGTGCGTCTCCACAGCCTCTCACGCAGGATCGACTGTCTGCCTCATGACTGAGGTATTTCTAATCGATACTGCTACCGCCCTGTCGCTTCTCCGCCTTGCTGCTTACGATTCTGACTGGAAAGCGAGGCTTTGTCGACCCCAGGTTTCACGATGGTTCAACCGAAGCGCCGGGGCGTTATTGGCCCCATGCAGCGTAACTGCGCGCGCAGGCGGTTGATGGTGACGTTCGGACGGACATCCATCTTGGCTTCTGTCATGATTTCGAATCGGATCAGCAGCTCGTCATTCTGGGAGTTGGTTTGTTGGATGATTCGTAGGGGTTAGGGCCATCGCAGCTTGTACGATGATGGAAATATCCTAACCGAGCATTGGAACTTTCGTGAACGACGTCTTTAGACCCCAAAAGTACGCCCTGAGAGTCCCTGATGTCAGCTCCGTGCCGCTTCGTGAAGGTGGGTTCGAGATTGACAGTCTGCTCAGACGGTCTCATACATGCTCACTGCTGACGGTAGACCCTTGAAGACATGCTCATGGTGAAAAAGTATAAGAAGATCGTAGAGAGAGGATAATGAAGACACCGAACCAGCTCCTCTCCTCATCTCCCCTTCTACACAGGTTCCTCGTCAACAAGAATTTGAACCAACGAACCAGCATGTTTACGTATCAGAATTCTCTCGCCCTTGGGTCAGTACTCCTGGCACAGACGGCGTTGGGTTATCCCCAGGGCGCGGTCCTCAATCCCACATTGATCACCAGAGACAATGAGTTCATCTTTTCCGCCATCGGAGATTCCTGGGGAGTACGTACTTTTACCCCAAAGCCACACATTGACTAAGCCAAGACAGAGCGGAGTCCAATGGAGCGACAAAACCGCATATGACGGAAACGAAGATGGATGCATGCGCTTCAAGTACGCCTGGTCGACCATCGTCAACGACAGATACAAAGACTGGACACCAAACCCAGACCAAGGTTCCCTGTTCGAGTTCAGAGCCTGTTCCGGCGCCCATCTGGGACAAAACATTCACGACCAGATGGACAAGTTGACTCGACCCAAAATGACACTCCTGGAAGCCGGCGGAAACAATGCCGATTTCTACCCCATGGCCGACAGCTGCCTCTTCCACTCGAACAGGAGCATTGACTATGGCACGAAATACGAAGACGACAATGCTGATGATCCGACGGGACTGTGTAGGAAGGAGATCAAGCTAGTACGAGGAAGAGTCGGAGGAGGTCTTAAGCAGGCCGTTATGGATACTATCGATATTTGGAGGGCACACCCCGCTGTCAGCGGCAACGACGCGACTCTCTTCATGCTAGGGTATGCGCGTTTCTTCGCTCTCGACGACGCGTGCAATGACTGGGATTTTGGCGTACAGTACCAAAAGCAAAAAGAGACACAGACAGTCAAAAAGGAGATGCGACAAGACTTCAACGATCTAGTAAGTTCCCCTCCCATCTCACCCCATCAACATCCCACCTTCAAAAACCCGCTAACATCACCGCCTCAGGTCGACGCCGTGAACCTCGCCATCCGCTCCTCGGTAGAACAATACAACGACCCGAAGATCCAATACATCGACATCAACCCCGCCCTCGAAGGCCACCGCTTCTGCGAACCAGGCCACAGCTGGTGGTCGCAGTTCAACTACGGGAACAAAGTGCACATCTATAACAACCCCGCCCGCGCTTTTATAACCATCCACGACGGCGACCAAGCTACTACGTACGAGTCTAGCGACGACCTTGGCGTCTCTGACCCACCCGAGGATATCGTCGAGAAATTACGTGGATACCCCGAGGGCGAAGCCGTGCAGCAGGATCAATACACCATCCTTACCTTCCGCGACCCTGCGAATCCAAGTCTATGGATGGAGTGGAAGGTTGAGCCGCAGCCTCTAGATGGTGGGAGTGGGAGTAAAGATGGGCGTATCGCCAGGACGTTGCATCCCACGCAGGATGGGCATAAAGAGATGGGCGATTTAATTGTAGAGGCGCTCAAGAAGAATTATAGACCTGATGAGTCGGCTCCTGAGCCGCCGACGAACCCATCGAAGCCGACACAGCCGCCGCAGCCGGAGACTACGGTGCCCGGATTCAACTGTCCGACCGGGTGTACTTGTAATTCTGGGGTTCCGCTTTGTTTCTAGGGTACTAGTTTGAGGAAGATAGGCGTGGCGGTTGAGAAGTCGCGGGCTGATTAGCTTTTGGCGTTGAGATGTGAGGGCGTTTCTTTCGGGATAGTTTCGAGAAACAAGGCTGGATCATCGGACGTAGCGCGTCTACATCGCCTTGATAGTGCTTCTGTCAGCTTCTTGGCCTGATGGACTACTGAGAATGGACTAGTGTTTGGAATCTCGACCTTCCAAGGTTCCATGGAGTTTGGAGTCATATTTGCCTTGGTATTGGTAATGTTATCGCATACTGTTGTGCATGCTGGTACGGACGTTTTTCTACTCCCGCCATACCTACATATTGCGCTCAAATTGTCAGAGCTGATATATAAGCGCGAAGGGCGTGACGCTCCCGTGACAGGAAATGCATGCGCGGTAAAAATGGTGTGCTAATGTGAGACCTGACCGGTCGGAGCTAGGATCGATCGGCCCTCATGTCAATGGTCTGAAATCTTTGGGAATAATTTATCTGCTGGGTTCCTAACCAGTCAAGACGTCACAGTCGGTTCGCCGTGCATTATATAAGCAGTAACACAGACGAGGCTGCTCGAGGCTTGGTGGTGGTCCTGGAACTCGGCTCCGCGTGCACTGCCATTGGCCCCCAACGACCGTTCACCTTAGGGCGAGGCAGACATGATTGTGATACGAGTCACAAGTCTGGTCCTGAGACCAATCCTGGAGTGTCGCGAAGCTCTCTATTTATGGCTGAGATAAGCCCATGATCCCTGGCATTGTGGTCGATCTGGGCGTTGGTGCTCCCAGAGAAATGGATGTCGGAACCCGCCGTGGCAGAGACGTGTGAGCAATAGGAAGGGCGCGGCATTGAACGTCGCGGCACAAAGGCGATTAGTCAAGAGAGATGATGAGAGAGCTAGAGTCACGAGTGTGCTGAGACTGAGGATGATGATGCAGTTGTTGGTGGGTTTGCAGAGTAGCGGCGGGAATTGGGTGGGCGGCCGTGGCGGCCACGGCCAGGAACCAGCCCGGTGTTGTGGACCTCCAGGGCTGAAGCGGGGCACCATGCGCCATGCGCGAACGGCCAAACATCTCCACGTCCCCAATCCCGTCACTAATGTCGCAATTTCCTCTTTCTCTCTCCCTCGATATCACAGATGATTGAGGGCCTTATCATGCACAACACCGCCATGGTGGCGATCCAGAGTAAGCCTCCTGCTCGGCCTACCAGGCCTCCCACGAACGGAAGTTCTAACCGCCCTAGCTAAATTACACGATGCCCATATCCCACGCACAGCCACATCACCAGAGCATCGCCCGCGACGCGATCCGCTTGGTTGAAGGTGAAGAATGAATCTATACCCGACTAAAGGCAATGGCTCGCCTGATGCACCTAATTCAGTCTTCCGAGTCGCCGACTCGGTTGACCGAACTGCCTCGCACTTAGACACCGAAACGGGTCACCTCTGAGACACATGCCAGAAAGCTTAACTTGAGCCTCCTCTCAGGCTTCCCTCTGACTAAAAACGGGACGATCCAATGATACTTCCTATACAGGCCGTCAAGCGGGTCACGGCTACCAAACTTAGCCCTATATCCGACCCTACACGTTCTGGCCGAGCTTTCAACGTTGCTCTAGCGCATTCTTCGACATGGAAACGACCATTCCTACTCGTTAGATGAGCACTAGATGGGATCTGGGGCGAAATCGAAAGAGTAGAGTGCTGCGACAGCCATGACTCCGGCTGTGAGTCGGAGGGAGATCGTTGGAAATGCGCTCATGCTCGTGCTGAGATGAGAGGCCTCATATCATATATAAGAGTTGGGATGAGGCACGGTTAAGACCATCAACTCAATGAACATGATGGATATCTCGTTCTCGCCAGCTCTTGCTATGACTTCCCTTCAAGCCCAATCTAGTGCTATCAACAACATCGAGCAGTCTTCCATCGCCGTTATACACGCGGTATCTGTCATAGAGGCGCACAAGCTTCTGTTCGAAGTATACAGAGTTGCCTGGTACTTCATTCAACAGTCTCAGTACTCAAGTCAAATGTCACACCGAGGGCCATACTCAACTTCTGAAGAGATGAAGGATGGTGGAAACGACCCAGAACCGCCAGCAGCACCACCGTAAGTTCTCACCCCTTCCATCTCAAACTCAACCATCTTCAGACGACTACCACCAAACCAACATCACCCCCATTAACCATTTCCAACCCAGAATCATCATCCTCGCCCAATCCGGTAAAGCACCTGCGCCCCACTTCCAGGTACCAGACCCTGCCGATCCGCCATTCCAGCCGCACCCACCTACGTCATCCCTGTCGTACGTATGCCCAATCTTACCTAGGTAGTTTGTGCAACCATCTCGTATCTTTTGTCGGTCCAATTCCTAACTCTCCCTCCTTATTTCTAGACCTGAACTCTCACGACAAGAATCTCAACTCACCGACGCGACATCGAGACCACCAAGTAAACCGGAACCGGAACCTCATCCTGCGCCACCGTAAGTAGATTGAGAAGACAGCCTTGCGCGAATGCGCACACGCGACTTGTGGATGGAATTAAGCTGACGAGATACCAGTGTAATCATCCTATCGAACCAAACCCACCTTTCTACCTCTACGTCTACCACCTCACCACCACACGCGCAAACCACACCGACCACCACCTCAACATCCACCCAACCGACCTACCCCTTCCTCCCCTACCTACCCGTCCCTCCCCCTCAACCCTCCACCAACCCCAACGCTCCCAACACAACCCCTACAATGGGCTCCAAAGTCAGCAAAGTCAAAGAACGCGCCACAGACGGCAAACTGCAACCCAGCCAAGAGCGCCTCGACAAGGAGCAGATGAAGGAACCGAGCAACTACTATTCACACCGCAGTAAGAGCATGCGGAGGAAAGCGGGGAAAGGGGGTGCTACAAGTGATGTGGGAGGGAGTGCTGGGGGTGCGGGGGGAGGGGCTGGTGGTGTTGCTTAAGAAAGGGGAAGAATATATACAGGAGTTTTGTGAGGTAGAGGGCAGATTGAGAATTTGGATACAAGATAGGTGGCGGCATATTGTGTTGGCGTTCAGGATTGTTTTTCTTCGGGTGTAGCATAGCGATGCATGGGCATGAGTATATTCACTTCTCCATCAATACATAAGGTATACTGTGTCTTCTTCGAGCTGCATTTCCCCATTTGCACAAGAATCGGTCCGCCATGGCATGGCGATATCTCAGCTAATCTCACCGCATCGGTCCGTTGTCATAGCACTTCGTACAACCTCACCTATGTACAAACACACATACACACACACACGTTTCGACAACTCATTGCGAATGAACACATTACATTACTGAATTCACCTCCCCATACTATCCTTTTCACCCCCTCTAGCACAACTATCTAGTGCATAGTCGCATTCCCACCAACGCGATAACTCTCCGGCGGCCCATTATGACTGTAAACAACACCACCCAGATCCAGGACAACCTTCTGCAGAATAACATTCGCCTCTACAAGCCACAGCTTGAGCGTGTGCTTACCAGGTGCAAGTTCACCATGGTTAGTAGTGTTCTTCCACGCGCTATCCGCGACCGCAACACCCCATCCGACAGGGAAGTTGGGCTGCGGCTGGTCGATGACAAACTGGCGGCGGGCTTCGGTCTTGTTGTCGATCTGAGCAATGTACGCGAGGGGCACTTTGGGGTTGATGTTGTGGGTGGGTGTGAGGATGAGGGTGACGTTGAGGCCCTTGGCCTTGGTGGTGGGTGTGAAGGTGACGAAGTCGTATTCGAGACTTGGTGCGCTGGAAGAGTCAAGACCCTCGGCTAGATTGTTGGCGAGCTTGACGCCAGACATGGTACGACCGTACTTTGGGAGGACCATGTATTCGTTGTCGGAGGAGCCAGGGGTGGAGCGCGTGTAGTGCTCTGCTTCGAAAGCGAGTTGGCCCGCGGATTCGACGAAGCCGGCGTTGAAGTCGGAGGGGATGGACGTCTTGTTTATCATGAACATGACTTGTGGGTTTCCACCCTGCGTGCCGAAGTCGGTGGAGCTGGAGAAGTTGAGCTTGCTTTGGGCGCCGAAGCCGTCTTCGACCTTGGTCCAGTCTACGTCGACGTAGATGCGGATGTCTTCGTCGTTGGGTTGCATGGTTCCCTTGGCTTCCGAGAGAGTGACGAAGGGGTCGGCGCTGATGTTCCAGTTGAAGGCGCCGGTACCGCGGTGTGAGATTTCGATCCAGCGCTTGGGAGTGAAGGGTGTCATGGCCGGGAGAGTCAGCGAACCGCCTCCGTTGCTGTGCCACATATCGTCACCGGGAATGGTGGCGTTTGAGCCCTCGACTGAGATACCCATGTCACCTGCTAGGGAGCGCTCTTGAGTCTGTACCCAGCGGAGATCGGGGGTGGACTGGCGCATAGGTTGTTGCCTGTGATTGGGTTAGCATCATGACTGCCATCGCTAGATCGTTTAGAACTTACCAGTATCCTTGGTATCCCAGATGGGTCTGGTCCATCATGTGGTCCCACTTGCCGTTGAGCTGAGTGTGGTAGAGGCGGGTGAGGTTGTGGTCCTTGTTCATGCCATCAATCACACGCTGCATCCACCTATTGGCGCTGTTGCGGCCCATCTGCGCGTAGATGATGTTTCTCGCACCCGAAACCTGCACATCGACGTGGTTTCCTCCAGCGAGGACACGGTGCAGGATGATCTCGTAGAATGCGGGCTGTTGTTCAGGAGAAAGCGCGGCGTTGACCTTGTTGGCGCGTTCGGCGAGTGAGTCCCAGTGGGCGAGGATGCGGTCGGCCTCCTCGTAGTTGAGAACGCTGAAGGAAGAGGGCTCGACCCATTCGAACTTGCGCATGTTGGCGAGGAAACCGTACTCGTCCATGATCTCGGCGATCTCCTCAGCATGCTCTTCCCCGAAGTTGCGGGCGGCGAATCCAGCGAGCCACTCGGGTACTGAGTCGTGGTTGTATGAATCCATGTCGTAGGCAATGTCGAACCAATGGCTGATGGCGATCTCGGCGGGCTTGATGTCACCAACGTTGACGATCCAGATACGGTCAGCCTCGCGATCCTTGGCCAACTTCATCTGCTCGTAAGTCTTCTGAAGCTGGATGGTATCTTGCCACTTGTAGTTGCGGGAGTCACCGACGTAGTCGAAGTGGTAGTAGACACCGGCACCTCCGGATCGGTTCTTTTCGTCGCCAACTGGGAGACGACGAATGTTTTGCCAGTTGTCTTCAGTCCAAAGGAGAGTGACCCAGTCGGGAACCTTCATGCCAGCCTCAAAGTAGTCCTGAACTTCCTTGTACAAGCACCACATCTGAGGGACTTCAGACGCGTCTCCGTGGACCTTGGTGAGAATATCTTGCTGAGCGTCGACAACAGCCTCAAGAACCGAGGTCTGAACGTCCGAAGACATGGCAGTGTCGTGGTATCCACGCATACCGACAGTGACGACGTTCTCGTAAGGAGCAGCGCGCACGGCACCCTCCATGAAGTAGTCGTAGAGAGTGGCGTTGTTGGTCGCCCAAGACCAGCCAGACTCAGCACCCTTGGCGACCTTGCTCCATTCCTGGGTGGCACGAACCATGGGCTCAGTATGTGATGTTCCCATCACGATACCGTACTCGTCGGCAAGCGGCTGGTTGCGGGCATCGTCGACGTTGAACATGCCGTTCCACATAGCGGGCCAGAGGTAGTTGGCCTTGGAGCGGAGCAGCAGTTCGAAGACTTTGGAGTAGAACTGAGCTCCAAAGGGTGCGCCATAGGGAGACTGAGGGTAGCGGTCGTTGGCCCAGCCAGTCAGAGCTGGGGCCTCGTCGTTGATGAAGAAGCCTCGGTACTTGACAGACGGTGTCTTCTGGACCTTGGTGGTTTGGAGCATGTAGATGGAGTCGTGTTTCTTCGCAGGTACGTCAGCGAACCAGTGCCATGGCGAGACACCGATTTGCTCAGAGATATCGTAGATGCCGTAGATGGCACCACGGCGATCGCTGCCTATAAAGAGTTAGCGTCGAGCATCAAGGCCAATCTCGGGATACATACCAGCAATGACAAGTGCGTCGCCAGTCATGTTTCCAGCCTGCTTCACCACAGCACTGACGTAGGACTCCCATTGACCCTCAACCTCGCTGACGTCGAGTTGTCCGCTCGCAATCATGTCGTCGATCAGGCTTGAATTGCCAATGGTTCCCACGATGATGGTGCCAGCTGATGAGTTGGATGCAGCACTGCCACTAACGCTCCAGTCTTCACTGATCCCAGTGACATTGAAGATCATGGAAGCGTTAGCCGTCGGTGTTCCAGAGGTCATCAGAGTACCATTGGTACCCGTAACGCGTCCGAAGTCGATAGCAAGGTCGTGAGCAGCGCGCAGAACACCGGGCCAATCCGCAGCATCAGCGTGGATACTAACAGGAGAGCCACGCGCGGCAAGAAGAGACGAGCCATCACCTTCTGTAGAAGAAACAGTAGGCTTGCGGAAGGCCTCGAGAGCAGAAGCCGAGCCAGCAAAGGCGACGGAAAGCGACAGGGCGCTGACCACGGTGCGAGAGAAGAGCTCCATGATGCCTGGTCAGTAGTCGAGCAACGTCCTGAACAGCGAACGAAAACGCGGAGAATCCCCAGCTTTTGAATGGCTTCCCCAGAACATACGCCGCGGTGATAGCCACGACGGTAACCCCATAGTCACCAAGAGATCCGCACCGCCCTAGCCGTTTAGTCGACTAGTCATCGTGCATGTTCGTACATCGAATGACCACCTTCCCATGAAATGTCTAGCAGCGACTGCATATCCAGGAACAGCATGCAGTTGCTGGCCAACGGCCCGATATTGAGGGACCCTAGTCGCTTTACCCCAGCCGGGACCGGTTGTTCTATGGCTAAATTGACGTGACGTACATGAGCCAGTCGCCTTGTCGCTGCAAGACTTCTAGAAGGGCAAGCAAGCAGTCTTGGCGGTAGGTCGGAGGACACGTGCAGCATGCAAATATCCGGATCCATGCACTGCACATGGAAAGTCGGTAGCAATGGTACTGTGCGATTGATTGGTACCAACTCGGCGTCCAGATAATCGGATACCATCTCTGGGATGCTGAGACGACGCAGAAATTGTTCCGTGCCAGTTCGCCAGGCTTTCCCTCGACGACAAACAGGTGGCCGCCTGGTCCCCCTCTTTGCACACGGAGATTTCCAAAAGAAACGCAGGGTGCGCAGCGCGAAGGGGCTTGGAAAACGGGTCTACGGGCTCATGGAGCGGCACTCCCCACGGTGGGTGAAAAGGCTAAATGCAGTCCCCCGCAAACTGCTCAAACCGCTCTGGGCCTAGTGCGGCGGCGAGGCGCCAAGCATCGCGAAAAATGTTGGAAGCGCGAATTATCCAAAGAAACATACAGCCGTCTTACCCCCAATAGCGTCACACCAACGTCCGACTCGATTAGTGGAGATTTGCATACTATCGTGTGATTAGTCGTTTTCGGAGATCAATCACCCGACTAAGCCTTCGTTCACCGTTCCGGAAGGGAGTCCAAGACGCTCCGACTTTTGTCAAACCTCCGCATACTCGACCCCACGTACGCGTCTACAGCCGACCGTCGCAATGGCCCAAGGCGCAATCAAGAAGACCAAGGCCGCTCCTCCGAAGAAGTGCGTTCTCTCCCCGCGCTCAACACTCCATCGAGCGCAAACTATTCTCCCAACACGCATACTAACATCTGCTCTCTAGGTCCTCGGTCGCGCGCAAACAAACCGGCGCCCGCGTCATCAAGCCCAAGAAAGCGTCCATCATCACACAAAACAAGATCAAGCACAAGAGCAGTTCAGGGCTCGTGGGCAATACAGAGAAGATGCTTGCGCAGAAGGCGGGGCATCTCGAGATACTCAAGGGAGGGAAGAGGGATAAGAGGGAACCCGGTGACAAGAAGAAGAGTGGTTGAATTGCGGACTTCGTGGAATAGATATCTGGCAAGGCGTGTAGGATTATGACCTGGGCCTCTGAGGTTTGGCATGAAGTAATGCGCCCCGACGCGAGAGAGGCTTCATGGACAGCGAGAATGGTGTTCAGCGTGGGGAAAGATGAGCCTTGTGCGATCGGTATCACGCGATAGAAGCCAGGCCATTAGTGATTACCTGAAGGAATCAACGACAGAAGGCATACTTGAAGGACATGGGATGGAAGCCGAAGATATCATATGTTGAACAACATTGTCCATTCGCGAGGCAAATGCCGAGCCCATCCAGTGAGTATTCAGGTAGCATATCCCAGCGCCTTGCCGCGACCAGAGAAATAAAAATAAAAACTGTCATATCCATGCCACGTCCTCAAATGATACCCGCCCGTGCAGCCTCACCACCCCCAGCATCCACCACAGCTTCCCTCGCCTTCCCTCTGCCCAGTCCACCCTCTCCAACACCCATCCTCCGCGCAACATAGCGCTGTGCGACGATACCCACACTCAAGTTGATCGTCTCCTCCATCCATTCACTAACCCACTCCCGCGGATCAACACCACCACTCTCGATAATCTCGTAGATCTCCTGCGGTAGTTGTTGCTCCTCGCCCTCAGCCTCGGTATTGGCTGGCGCATCTAGCCAGTCGACCCATTTCGACGGGAAAGACTGGCTGATGGACTTGAACGAGATGCCGTGGATAGGGTCGTGCAGGTAGATAGCGAAAGCCACATCCTCCCCGTCCTCCTTCTGTTCTTCTACATCCGACTTTTCTTCTGAGGAGGATGTAGCAAAGAGTTCGTCTTGTACAGGGTAGCTGATAGCTTGGATCGCAATAAAGATGTCGCTGCTCCTGACGGGGTTCGTCTCGCTCAGAACTTCTGTCGCTTGCTTGGCCGCTTCTTCAACACCTCCTCTCGCACCAAAGAACTCGTTCGCGTACGACTCTGCGCTGACGCGTGCGAGCTTTGTGCCTTCTACAAGTCCTTTGACCACGGAGAGGTCGCGCTTGTCAGTGTGTCGCCACCATGGCCCGTCGTTCCAGCCTCCGCCGCCGCCCCGGTAGCCGTCTAGCGATCCGCGCTGTGTTGACTCGGAGCCACGTTGGATGACCATGAGGTCTCCGCCTTCGACTTGTGCCATGACTCCGGCGAAGGTCTGGTAGATGAGGGGGTCGAGCGAGGGGTACCCGATGAGGTCGTGTGTGATGTGGATCTGGAGGCGTTCATGCTGGGAGATGGGTGGTGCGAGGGTGTTTAGAATGTTGGTAAAGGTAGGCACGGCACGCTTGCCGAGTTCACCTCCTGTAGCATGTTAGACTGAGATGACATGGTGGGAAATGGAATTGTACCAATGCCGCGAAGAGCACCAACGTTCCCTCGTACTTGCTCCGCCCAACGCTGGGCTTCTTGGTTCTTTTGGATCTCTTGGTAGGCGGCTTCCGCTTGCTTCCTCGCCGTCTCTGCTGCTGCAGTGGCTGTTGACACCAGTCCTCCCCATCCACCTCCCCACCAAGATCCGCCTGACTGCTTCTCCTCCTGGGGCTCAGGTACTTGTTGTTTGGCGGGCTCCTCTTGGGTTGGCGCGAAGCTCTGGTGGTACGAACGGGTACTCTCCCCTGATTTCCTCGGCACTGAAGGTCGGTTGTCTTCGCTTGTACGTGCTGATCCAGTGGAAGAGGGAGTAGCTACGCCTGGTGCGCGGCGGCTGCTGGATGTAGTCGACGACGAGGCTACTTTGGGTGTGTTTGGACGACTGATCTGGCGGGGAGCTGCTGGTTGAGCCTTGCCCAATTGCTCCAGCTCGTCCAGGTCCTTCAGAGCATCTTCATCCTGCTGGCGCTGGATCTTCTGGCGTGGTGCGCGGGACCCTTTGGCATGCTTCGGCGGGGGTGCGGGAGTCTCTCCAGCCAGAGCTTCCAGTTCCGCGAGCTCCTCGTCAGCTGTCTTGGGTGGCATGATGGATGGAATATAAGGAGGCTAGTTCAAGGTGATAGTGCCCACAGTCACGAGTCACTGAGAGAGCGGAGGGGTATACAGTCGGCGGATATCACTGCAAACATCAAGTCATGGCCGTCTTGTTTGGACCATCTGACAGCTAGATGCCAGTCAGTTTAGCGTGTTGATGTCATTGGCTGCCTGCGCATGCGCCAAGCGCGATCATGGTTCGGCTCGCTTTTGCTGAAGCAGCCACGCCCCGTAACAAAGATCATCACACTCGATTCACTGACTATTCCATTTCCCATTTCCTTTTCAAGATACCCTCTATCACCTGCTAGCTTTTATTTGCGCGCGCTCTTTGCGGAAGCGCAAGGTTCTGTTCATCTTCTTCGCTCACAGCTTTTGTCACCCTGAAGGCTTGCGATTCGCGCTACGCCCCTTCGGCCCCTACATGGAGACATTGTCCCGACAGGTACACCCACATCAAACTCAACACAACATTCACTACCTGCATTGGCCCCGCGTATCTTCCTGATGCCACGTCCACGGGGTGCGGCTACGCGCGGTGCCACACGTCGCAATTCGCAGCAAGATGACACGCTTTCCCGGACCCGTGGTCAAGCAGCAAAACAAGCGCCATCAGAACCAGATGCGCCAGACACGGTTGCACCAGCATTCAGTCCTACCAAACTGAGTCCTACCATCACTAGGAAGACAACTCGCTCAGCTTCCAACATTTCTGGTAATTCATTCGAGGCGCCGTCCGCGTCCGAAATCTACGCATCTTATGAGCACCCGTTGTTCATGGTCTTTGGTCTGTCACCCGAGTTCTTTGACGGTCTGAAGAAGCACCATGGAAAACTTCCCAAAGAACGCAAGTCTATCGTTGGCGCACTCCCAGAGCGCTCACCTACTCCGGAAGAAGCCTCGGAGTCTGAAGATGAGAGTGCCGAAGAGAGTGAGGTTGAAGTGCCTGTTGCGCCTCCGCCAGCGCCAAGAGGTCGTGGACGCGGTGGTCGAGGCTCACGTGGCGGACGCGGACGAGGCGGTCGCGGCAGAGGCAGTCGAGGAGGACGCGGTCGCGGCGGTACTTCACGAGGAACTTCATCTGCGCCATCAAAAGCATCTCGCAATGCTGCCGCCATGTTTCCACTTACAGAAGATGATGATGATCAGCCATCCAATCAGAGCACACCCAACGGCAACGCCAAGCCATCCATGCGACTTCTCAACAACAACCGTCTGCATAGTTCTGATGATGAGAACGAAGAAGCGATTGAGGATGACGAGAGCGAGGCCGAGTATGATCGCATAGACGTTGTACAGAAACCATCCAGAACACCCCAAGGTTCTGCGCCACCCGGTCAAGACTCACTCGATGGCGGTTCACATACATCAGCGCCGACACGCGAGTCAAGACCAGAGCCCACGTCGAGGAGATCCACCAAGCTTGCGGTACCCAAGATCGCGCTGCCAGAGTCAGCCTCACAGACACCGCGAGATTCTGCATCGACGCCTGCGGAGTCCGCAGTCCCAAAACTGCTAGAGCCAGAGGAGGATATGCTTTCCGAGTCAGATCTTCCCGATCCCTTCATTGAAGACGCGCCTTCTCCGATCGAAGCCGAGTGCGAAGATAGAGCAGACTACCTCCTGCAGAAGCGCTTCAAGCCGATGACTGACGTACAAGCTGCTATCGCCGCCTTGACGAAGTTTCCAGCAGCGCAACGGAGTACTGAGAATCTCTACGCTCTAACGCAAAACACGCAACAGATCCTCAAAGCTTGGCAGGACGAGTATCTCGTGTTGGACGCAAGGGTATGTTACTGTCATCATTTCATATGTATCTACTAATAGTCCCAGACTGCACCTCACATGCATCCAGCCAAGAAGGCTTGCAACGGTGGACGTATCCCGCTGGCTCCGGAAGTCTTCGAGGACATGAAAGAGGCCGACCTCTATGGCTATATCTACGACCCAAAGAAGCCACCCGGCTGTCAGGATCCTTTCTTACAGCGGCCAGGCGCGGACAAGGGTGGCAAGAGAGAACTACGCACGCGTCGCACACGGGACCAGCTTGAGTCGGCAGCTCCCAGTGAAGAGGAAGACGAAGAAGACGGTGAAGGTCGACCCTCTAAGCGGCAACGACGAGCCACCCGCAAGTTTGACGGTACTGACACAGGAACTGGTGCCAACACCCCCAAGAAGCACAACGGCTGGGGCGGCGCGCGCAAGAAAGGTGTTAGTCGATTCACGAAGCCAACTTCCGAGACCCCAGAGCCAGAAGGACGAGGCGTAAAGCGAGCCCGGACAACGGCTAGTAACTTGCTCCATCAACGCATCCAAGAAATGAGAGAGGAATCAGTTGTCGGTAGTTCCGGGGACGAGGACTCATCAACCATGGACGTAGACGAGTATTCAGATGCTAACCCTAAGCGTGGACGTCCAGCCGGTAGTAAGAACGTAGCTCGCCGTAGTGACTTTGGAGTAAAGAAAGGCCCACGAAAGAAGACCAGCGAATCAGGAACCCCAGCACCCTCGGCACATGGCCCAAACGCTCCACCACCAGCACTGAACTCAATGAGTGAAGGTCAAGGTCAGTTTACTATTGATGCCCAGCCGTTCCCGGAAGGCATACCCATAATGGCACCGAACTCTGCTGAGACGGTTTTTCAAGGCACACTACAGTATTCTGCGCCCAACACAGAGGTACCACTTGTGCATCCGAGCGAATCCAGTACTCCTGACGCGTACATGCTCACTGCCCCCCTTAGTCAGTATACAGCCAACAACAGCTACGCGGACGACTCATCCCCAGCGTCAGGCTCGCGACGGAAACCGCGCGTAAAATCAGAGAAGCGCAGTCAATCCATGACCATGTGGTGGGCCGAACGCAAGGCAAAGAAGCGGGAGGAGGAAGCGCAGGCCGGAATTACCCCAACACCCGATCCGCGCGAAAAATCCGCGACGCAAAAGGGTGCCCGGCAGTCTGAAGGCTCGGCGACTGGCGCTACACCGCAATCGCAGCCTTCGCATTCCCAGCAAGCATC